TCCACATGTATAGAGATTTATTTACGAATCTTAAAACTCCTTTAAAGACAAGTTTAGGATGGGCAGATATCACCACCATTAATATTTAACAGAATAATAACAATTTAAGTTGACAGAACACATCCCAGTCCAGCAGCTTGGCAATAAATGCTACAACTGTAGGAGTAGTAAACCGTATTTGACAAATGGTTCATAAAAGAAGCAGATGTTGGAGGCCATTGTAATGGAACACATGAGACATGTTGTTGTGCAAGTTCACAATGCTTTGATCAGCACAGACAAATGTTTAATCCACATCCTCTATTTAGTGGGAGATACTCTTTATAGAGAAACACTTTATTAGGAATAAGCCCTTGAGCTGTATCAACTCTTTTCAACACAATAGTAAAAGTACATTAAGTACATTCAGACAACATATTTAATACACACACATGAATAGGACAAACAAAGTACAAAGTACAAAAGCACACAATACAAAGAATCAGTAATAAAAAATGGATTGATAGTTTATACATTGATATATTGTCATTGATAGAATTAGAGCAGAAAATTGTCATACTTATATGTACTACTATTGGGGACATGCACAGCTGGTCCTATATAATAAGAAGACATGGCACTTTTGAATAAGTGAAAAGATGATATGGATCAAATATTTGCTGTTTCTTGAGGAGGATCTGAATCATCAGACCCTGCTCATCATTGTAACACTAATCAAGAAAATGAGTCAACCCTTAAAATGTGATGGTGACAGTCCCCCTCTGAAACGTGTAATACTGTGCATTGATGTTTCACTGTTATTCTTCTATTATACATTATGAATTGCCATCTAACTGTAATTCCACTCACAGGATGACAGTTTTGACATCATTCTTGGGTCTGAGGTGAGGTTTCTTGCACTTGTAGTGTTAGCTTTGCTCTACAGTACAGTACAGTAAGCCATGATAAGATTTTCAAATCAAATAAAAACGATCTCATCACAAGATTCAGTGAGTAGCGGTCTTGGACCTTTCAGTCGTATCGCATGATCATCAGCAGTTATTTAAGTCACCCTGAAAGGCAACTTGACATGAAGAGCTCCATTGTGAAGTTTAAAGATTATATAGTTTGATTCTGGCCTGAGCACTGAACACCATCTTTACTGCAGCCAGAAAATAATTTCGCCCTGATCCACAGCGTGACCCAAACGTTATATAGAAACGTGATGCCTGGAGTTATTACACACAAAGCACTGATACATTAATGCACTCTATACTTAGTTGTCAGGAGAACAGGGACAGCTTCCAGTGGTACAGTGATTGTTTGTTTTGTCATCCTCAAGAACGCCTCGAGAGAATCTTTTCCAATTTGGCACAAACGTTCACTGAGACTTGTGGATTAGCTGATTAGATTTGGGTGGTTAAGGTCACGGTGGCCTCACAAAACATTTTTGATCTCTTGAACATGAAATCTCAACTCTGCCTTCACAGATTCTTTTCTTATTTTGACCAGTTGTCACTTAGTCTCAAAGATAAATGATTAGATTTCAATGGTCAAAGGTCACAGTGACCTCATAAATCTGGAAAGAGAATATATGAAGATTAACTGCACTGGTTTGTGAAGTGGCATAAAACCACAGGGCGATAAAACTAGTTCATAATGTGATTGAATAGAACTGTTAATAGAACTGTGCTCAGCTGCCTGTTGAGGTTTACACTTAAACAGCATCTATCACTTGATGATACAGTTGTGTAAGTGATACAGGAAATTACAATGAGGGAGAGAAGTACACCCATATCCAAAGAACAAATTACCTCGGTAGGATAAGAGTTACAAGTCACACTGAAACTAAATGTGAAATTCATGTGTGGTGTTCCTATAGCTCCCGTGAAGCAGCTATACAGCGTGTAATAGAAATGTGAAAATCAGATTTAGAAATTGAAGACATGAGGCCGCAAATGCAAAACACACTGAAAGACAAACATGATGGATAAAACACGGTGACGGTGCTAAAGGTGGACTTCATTGAACATGGGCTCAATATTAACTGTTATATATTCCACTTGCACTAAAGAAAACTTGATAAAAACAGGGATATTGTCGTTTTTGAATCTGAAATGATTGTAGCATTGTGTCTCACTGACTGAGAAGACCACATCTTGTTCGACACCTTTGATACTCGAAGTGAAGTGAGCGGGTTAGCTTCATGGAGAATGTGGCCATAATGACTGACAGTTGAGCGGAAATTACTTTTTGAAACAAAACTAGTTTCCATCAAACTCTGAGAGAACTTGAGTTTTCACAAAACCTGCTGCTTTCTGAAACAATCTCGTGGTTTTGAGAAACCAAGTAAAAGCCATTATCCCTGGTGTGAATGAAATTTGGCTCCTGAAACAAATGCACAGATCAGCAGGGAAAATCTACAGACCATACCGTGGAGTTTTCATAAAACATTAGAAAGCTGTATTCAATTTCATTAAATACAACAGAAGACCAATTCAATTGTAGATTGTATCTATTTTTTTACTTATTGGTGAAAAAGTCTAAAACTTGAACACTTACAAAATGCTGTATCAGTGTGTTTGTGTGTGCTGAAAGAAAATTCCACGACACATTCTCTTTTCAGTTGATTTTTTGTCTTTTATTGAATAAATGATTTAAAAGGTAATAACAATGTTTAAAACTACTACCTTCACATCCATTGCTTACATACTCAGATAACCCATCTATATATATTCTTTCAACCCTCCCCACTTTTCTTTTGCAATTTTTTTTTGCTTTCTTTTTTATCTTTTTTTTTTTTTTTTGTGCGTTTGTTTATTTTTGTCTTTTTTTTCTTTTGGAGTCATACTATCTTTAATAAATGCCCGTTTCAAGTCTCGTCACACTAACAGCAATTCAAGAGGAAGAGAGGAAGGGTCTAGCTCTACAGGGGGATGGATTTGAAGTTCCCATTTCATATTTTTCCATCAACATTTTTCAAGTTACTAAAGCAGAGGAGAAAAAAAAGATCCAAAAGTCAAAAGGAAAAGAAATGAAAGTTGGTATGAGGAGTTACACCAGGCAACCCTCCCAGCCCATCAGGCCACTGCAACTGAAGAAAATCATTTTGTACAGTGACACGTCATCGAAGTCAGTGTCTCAAAAATTCAGAACATAGAAAACCACTAAAATAATTTTGAAACTAGATCCAAAATATTCTTTTGAAAAGAAGTAATTTGATGTACAAAAACAGTCATTTTCAT